GTTACCGACATCTGGTGAAAATTTCATGTCATTAGCACCTCTAGTAATATATTTACTGAGAAAAATGTTGACGTGTTCAATGCTTATTTTACCCGCTGTACGTGGTGATGGTTAGATCTCGTCTCACCTTTCCACACAACAAAGTTTGATCTGATTTGATTTCATTCTTGTCGGATACCTTTTTCCCCTTCATTTTTGTCAGCAAAAACTGTGAATTACTTAAGCCTTAGTTTTAGTTTCTGTACATTTTTTTTTTTTCAATTTACTTAGCATCTCATTTACATCCACAAAAACAAGTTGATGGACTAAAAACCAGGCTAACACCGATGTGCCTCATAGCAGGATCATCATTAAAAATGAACAACCTCAAATTTGTTTGTAGCTTGTATAAAAACAAAAAAGTTAGAATATCTGTATTAAGATTTCACTTTTAAAGGGTCATGTCATGCAAAATCCATGTTTTTAGCCCTTAAATACATTTTGTTACGTACTTGGAGTTAGACCCCAGCTGAATGATTTTAAATGTGGAAAAGGAAAGGTTTAAAAGCACGATCCTCTTTAAAGAAAGCCAGTTGTAGAAGAAGCTTCAAGATCCACGTGTGTGTTAGAATAAACTGGGCCTGCTTCAGTTCCTCTTTGCGTTCAGCCTCTTTACAGTGCTGCCTTGTTGCATCTTGATCAAGCAGCATTGTACAGGGCTATGAAGGCATGGAGGCGGTGCAACACAGATCTGCTTCTGGTGATGCTGTAACACTATTTAGGTCATGTGCCCCTTTTGATTTAACTCGGTTGTTTTTCCGTTTAGAACATTGAGAGAGTGGTGTTTGTTGGGAACTTCCTGAGAGTGAACACGCTCTCCATGAAGTTGTTGGCCTACGCCATGGATTATTGGTCCAAAGGTCAGCTCAAAGCTCTCTTCCTCCGACACGAGGTGAGTAGCTCCTCTGAGAGCACAGAAGCTGACTTTACCTCTGATATTAACCGTTCTGTTGTTTTTTAGGGTTACTTTGGTGCTGTTGGAGCCCTGCTAGAGCTCCTGCATCCGTCTGAATCATCCACTAACTTCAGCTGAAGAAGTAAATGTCAATCTGCTGCAGCTATTAGCACTTTAGACTGTTGAGGATTAAATTCTACAGTGTTGCGTTGCTCAAGCCACCCACCAGTTGTAACACTGTAAAATGTGTTTGTGGTCGACGCACTCAGAAAAGCCGGGATGTTTTCAGACATTGTTTCAGACTGGTTTGAAAGATTGTGAAAGTTTTTTTATTTTTTTGAAACGTTTGTTCTAATGTTCTGTGAATCCAGGTGGTGAAAAAAAAATCTGATGGATAAAAGGAGACTAATAAGGTGTGGCAGTCCCCTCTCACAAAACAACAAAACAGAATTTCAAAGTGTTGCCTCTGGGCCAAATGTGGTTTTAAACATACCATAATTTTATGCAACATCGGTATTAAAATGATGAAAGTTGTTTTATAAAGCTGTTTGAAAAATCACGCAAAGTGCTTAAAATATTTTAGGAACAATTTTAAACCCAACATATTTCATGGGTTTTAGAGTATTACATTTTTTATGAAAAAAAATCCTTAAAAAGGAAATTGTCTGTTTTTTATGTAGTTGTTTGGACTTCTCAGTCACAAAATTAGTTGCATCTAAAGGTTCAATGATTCCTGTCAGTTAAAAGTACTTTGTTAGTTATTGTGGGCTTCAAGAAATAGAAATGCTAATAAACTTGTTGCACTTGATGAGGTAAAACATCATCAGTCTTCTGATCACTTTGTCACCAAATTACCTGCAGCAATAATGCTGTTATAAATTTAGAATTAGCTGAAAATACCTACTATTTCATTTAACCATTACTGTAATAGAATGTATACATTTTTAAATGTATTTTGTCTTTTTTGCTCAGTGAATGATTGTCAATGATTTCTCCTATCTGCTTGTAAAGGTTGCTGCACCACAATCATCTGCATTACTGAAGTGCCTTCAGGCCAGTGGTGTTTGTACACGTTAGGAGTAGTTAGTAATTAGAYAGATGTGCACGAATAAATACACGTCCAAAAAAAAGGCACAATTTTACCAGTTTAACAGAAGAATTAAAGTTGAGGCTTCCCTCCAATGGAGGAATAAAACACTTCTGTTCCGTGTGTACACCAATGTTTGAGCTTTTCCTGTTTGTTTTTTATATTTGTTCACTGATCTGTTCAGTAATCAGTCCATTAATTACAGGGACAATAACTCACATTAAACTTATTTACTCATTTATTTAGTTACTGTGAATAGCTTGGAAGTGCCTGCCATGGTCTGTGTAAATAAAGTTCAAATTGTCATTTTTTATGTTTTTTAATGATTTTTTTTTTCGGTATAACATTGCTTTTGTTCGCAAATCTCACTGTTAAATATAAATCATTTACTTCTTGGCACTTGTTACATTTTGTTAAACTTGTAAAGTTGTTTTAAAATAAGTTCAATAAAATTTGTGCCTGATGCTGATGCTTTAATTAACTCATCATTCTGACAAAGTATCACAAAATTCTGAGGTAATGACTCAAAATTATGATGTATTATCTCTTATGTCTTAGTATCTCAAATGCTTATCAAGACAATTCAATTGAAATCTTTTTTTTTTCCCCATGTGTTTTTCGGCACATAGCTTTAGTCATTTTTGTGGTGTTTGTATATCAACACGTTCACTTTTGGTAGTTTAGATGAAAATGATTGGAGCTGTTTTCAGTCTTAAAACTCTTCAAAATGCTGATAAATTTTTACTTACCTTTTGTTCTGGTTTGACTTTTTTAACTTCTTTGATTTCAGCTTCCTTTGGCTTGTATTTAGCTGATTTTAGCTTATGTCTGCTGCTTTTTAGCTATCATGCTGACCTCTCTATTCTTTTAATTTCAACTTCTGCTGCTTTAATTTTTTCTTGATCATTTCACTTTATTTCTGCCTTCATTTTTTCTTCCCTTTTCAGTTGTATTTCTACTCCTTTTTATTTGCATCTTTTCTGTTTTTCAGCTCCCATTTGAGGCTTTTGTTCTCACAAATAGGGGTTCTTCAGCAATGATTCAGCTGAGTTTGGGTTCCACCCAGGGG